AACCACGTGCACCGAAATGATTAAGAGAACGGCAAGAAATTGCATAATTCCCTGGATCGAATTTACAACAAACATGAAAAACTTCATTACACTACGCTTAACATCTTGACGGAAACATCGATTCCTTTCGGATCGCTCTCAGAATGATATCTATTCAGCGGTCGCCTTCATGGCGTACGTTCACGTACTAACGAAGTTAGGAATCAATAGGAAAGACTGTAAACTCATATCAAAGTGTTTTCCTTTGGCACAGGCAGTCCTTTCGGAGCTGCTTAGGGAAAAGCGTGCAGTTCCACGGAACCAATGGCTTTCTGCTAATGAATTTTTTCCGCATATTCTCGAACATTCAAAGCATCTATTAGACCAACAAAAAAAAAAAAAAAAAAAAAAAAATTGGAAAATTTCCACATTTAAGTGAATCGTTTCATTAATGAACTCCGGTGAACTGAATTTAATTGAAAAGAAATAATGGATTATCTACAAAGTAATTCCAGGCATTTCTATTGAATATATTGTCCAATTGCCACAATTGCCACAATTGCCATAAATGCAAGTTCGATTCGCATATACAGGCTAAGTGACAGACATAAACTGATTTTATTCTTTTGACGTTTTTTCAGTAAAAGATCTACTAAAAGCCTGCCTTGAACTAGGACCTGATGACTGTTGGCTCGTAGTTAGCAAATTGCTTAAAAAAGTTATCATATGCTTAAGCGCCCTATGTACGCATATTTAAAATCGATCGATTGTTATCAACTCTTTCCTCCGGCAGAAAGGTGAGGATGCATTTCATCTATTTTCGGTTTAATACGGTCGCTTACTAGCAAGCTCACTGCTCACAAAAAAATCACTGCTGTTTCGTTCGAACACGAGAGGTGTTGTTTAATTCAATTTTTCTTTTCGGAGGCGCTGAACGCATGCTTGTCTCTGCAATACGCAAAGCCCGCATACCTGAGGACAGAAGTTCATCCAAAACCCTACAATTCCCTACAATTGGGACGAAGGCACGTCAAAGCTTTCCTTGACATTACTCAGTGAATGGTAGACTTTGTTTGAGTTCCGATCAGGATGATATTTTTTTTTTATTTTTTTTTTGCCCATAACAATAACTTATTAAGTTATTCATAATTTGTCATTAGTGTTTCAACAATATATTCGCAAATAAAAATTCGATATAGGAACAAATTTGTGAATCGAATCTGTAGCTATCTATAAAATTAACTGAAACATTTCATTAATAAATGTTCAGATAATTGACGAAGCCGTGGCTATGCGTGCTTACGTTTAAGCTTAGCACGACTTTTACCCGAAAAATATTCACTTTCCTTGTGTTTGATTTTTGAGACAGAAAGTGACTGAACCATTTTGCCATATGCCGTTCATTGATATTAAATATGTAGACTGCAACTTACTACGCGTATACAACATCAGTTATTTTATACGTTTTGCTTGCTTATCTTTATCGCTATCTAAAAGTATAAAATTCTCATAAATATTTCACATTTCCCGTGTATCTCTCTATACATCACTTCTATCGCGACTTCATGTCCGATGTTTAAGAAACATACCCAGTGATTCTAACTCAAATTTTCCAAATCTCGGTTGAATTTTGATTGCTAATCGCCGCGAAGCAACCGAAGAAAATATGATTTTTCCATTTCATTTACATTTTCTTAGATGCTTGCGTGTATTTCGATAATTTTTGCACTTAAAAAAATAAATAATTGACAAATATTGGTACAAGATATATATATATCCAAAAATATTTTCCATCATTTTGTACAACCTTTTCCCATCATTCTCCCAGCATTTCGAAATCGGGTGCCGGCCAAGCCGTGCTGCAACAATCTGAATAAGTCGTAACCGAAAGGCGCTGGTTGCGGTAGAATTTCCTTTTCGAAATGTAGGAATGTATCCTCGACAACGTGTACAAAATGTGGCCAAGCATTGTCATATAAGTGGATGACTTTGGATCTGCTAACCGCTAACGTTGGTCTTTCTTACGACAATATATAGATCCTTGCGGATCTTTCCGATCGCATGTAAATGCCTAGATATAGTCGATTCACTAACTGCTAAGCTTCTGCGAAACTTCCTTGGGTGTTTGAGATCCGTTTTCATTCAATAAGTCTTGCATTTCATTGTCTTCTGATTTTGTAGTCCTCCCAGACTGTTCTTTGTCATAGATATCAAAATCACCACTTTTGAACAGTTCAAACTAATATCGATAATTAAGATAGGACAGAGCAGCTATTAAAAATGTGTGATAGACTACGGCAGTAGAATTCTTTGAATCAAACAACACCGGTAATGAATGTCGAAAATGCTGTTTTGAGCGTTCAATGATCAGTCACAGTATGCATTGAATAACTCATTGATACTAAATGAAAAACAATTGTTTTTATGTAGAAAAATGTTGAACTCATCATCGAATTTAACCGTTCGCATTATCTTAGCAGTTTCATTAATAGATATCGCCGATCAATATACATGCAAGCATCTATTAAATATTAAGATTTGTTGAAAAAAATTATTCCTGGAGCATATCTTTTCTTCAACACTGTTTGTTGTATTTTGCATATAAATGCGTATAAGAGAAAAAAAGAAAAAAGAAACCTTAACGTGTAGTGGTTTCACGAAAGACACGCACTCCTGATTTACTGGTTACAATGCTTACTTAACCGTCATGATGTTGATAATGATGGTGATCATGTTCACAGAATTCTAATGAACGGTGATAAATTTTCCACAAATCACACGCATCACGCATCCATTCGTATAAACTGTAAAACAGAAGCACAATCATTCACATACCTTAACACTCTTATAACAAATAAATGCGGTGACATATGTAGAAGTAAAAGACGAGGGAAAATATTTATCAAGAAAAGTCATCAAAGATCGATTGGCAGCTCTTGAATAAATATTATACGCGTATGGTTATGGTTATGTGAGTGAACGAGTCAGCGATTGAGCGAGTGAGCGAGTGAGTGAGTTAATGTTTATCCCTAAAGAGAAATGCTGCTGTTAAGCGTTGTATGTTGAATAATAATTCGCTCGTAATCGTCAGAAAATTGAAAAAACCAAAAACAATACAAAATGTAAAGAAAGAGAAAGAAACAAAATGCCCAATGGCATAAAACATATATAACGAACATTCATCTTGTCCCCAGTGCTGTGATTGTTGGTTTAAGAGCAATGAACACAGACTATGCCATATGTAAAGGAGACAATAACCATCAGTGACCGATCGAGACAACATAACTTTATAGATATAGATATGTATATGTATTGTTCAAATATGCACATACTCATATATAAAGTTACACGTGGATTACAATGCAATGTACCTATATATATATATATTTATATATATATATATACATACGTACACATATATTGCATATGTATATAAAACAAGTCTGTGCCATCCATCCGTTGACGCAGTTTATATATATATAGTATGGCTGATGGTTGGCGATTAACTTTCTACCATCCAATTTTTTTTTTTTTTTTTTTTGTGATTTTTACAGTCAAAGCTTAGACATGTACGAGGACGTAGCATATGGCATATAGTATGTGCTCTTGCGCCAGCTATTGAGGTAGAAACACAAATATGTTGCTTATGTATATAAGTTATCCATCTGTATATTTTTCCACCCATCCCCACTTTCATCACTGGTTAACTAACATTCGTGTCACACATGTACAACAACTGTTGTACATGTATATATTACTTACTTTATATGGGAAAGGTGTCTTTATAGTTAAGGCACAGCACAACGCTATTATGTTTAAAAAAAAAAAAAAAAAAATGAAAATAAACAAAAAAAGAGAAGAAAAAATCGTCAAAAATCCATATCAAAACATCCACAAGTATTTTGAGAGAAATTTATACCGTGATACATATGTATTAACTATTCCATCAGAAACTTTAACTAAATTATTGGATCACTTTCTGGAAATTGAATAAAGTCACTTACGTACAGTCACTTATTTCAAAATTTTATTACATTTCAATAACAAAATATTTCATCAATAGTGGGTATATAACCCGTCGTATATATAAATCACGCAAATGCTATATGGAATTGCTTCATCCCTACAACTGCTTATGACGAATATATTCGTTATACAGATAAAAGGAAATTGGCATTCGAATTAAAAATTGATTAACTATAAGTTGTTTTTTTTTTTTTCGCCTGCAACAAGTGACAAAAAAAAAACAAAAAAATAGCCATTTGTGGTCAGTTCGATTTCATGCTAAGAAAAGAAAAACTCTCCATTGGCATAAGAATAAAAATTGCTACTTAAAAAAAAATAAAAAAAATAAAACGAAATTAATTGCATTGAATTATCATTGATGACATAAAAGAAATAGAAAAAATTATGCAAATAGGCAAATAAAATGGAAATATTCTCTTTTAATTTAAATCATGTACACTTACTTAAAATCAAACTGTGAATATTTACCAATTTTGGCAACATTTATATATTATATATTAACATAGCATAAATTTATGAATAAGATCTAAATACATTCTTTTAAGCATAAAATGAGAATTATAATTAACGGTACACCTTAAGGGATAATATTACCTACTGTACATTAAAAATAGGATAATATTCTAGTTTTATATATGAAATGATTTGTACATAAAATAATAATAAGTTTTTCCCCCGATTTCATGAATCAGAAACTGAAAGCGTAACACAAAACCAAATATTTTCTGAAAATATGGCTTGAATGAGTATCATTAGATGCCGATATAAACTCTTCTTTTTTCCATCGACACAAATCGAATTAAAATTGAATCTCGAAAAAATATGCTTTCGAAAAATCGAATTTATCAATTATTTTAAAATTTTACCACTCCCACTATCATCTTCTCATATCATCCTTGAAAATTTAACGGATCGTTTGATATAAAAAAAAAAAAAAAAAAAAAAAAAAATAAAAAAAAAAATAACACCACACTACTAATTATTAAAAAAAAAAAAAAAAAAAAAAAAAAAAAAAAGAAGAAGAAAAAATATACTTAACATTTTTTAGAGACATATTTGTGAAGAATGTCTTTCAGTTTGAGATCATTGGTACCGGGCCACGAACTTAGATTGTTAAGAGCATATATCCAATTTTTAACAACCAAATTGCTCGAACATGTTGTCATATTAATTTCACTTATATAACGTTCAGGAAAAATAGCATCCGATGATTCACTTGCCGTGGTTGTATTAACATTCTGATTTAATTCGAATGGTGTTTTGACGTTTAATTTGATGCCTGATTTTACCGTACGGAACATTTCATCAAACTTAGCGTAATAACGTTGATTTAGACGGCAGCGACTAATTGGATCCTGCAATTTGTACGCACGATACTTGAAAAAGGATCTTCGAAACGCCAATAAACAGTCCGTGACTATAAATATGATCTGAGTTACATTTTTTATGCGTTTCATATGAAATTATCTTATTATACCTTCGGCATTTAATTCTTTGGCGACCTCAAGCCAAGCTTTATATTTTTGAACAGGATTATTCAATTTCTCATAGATGATAGGACGTTTTTTTACAGCTGTTAGTAAAGCCACAGATTCAATTTCTTTAACCTTTCTTCGATACGTGCAACTAGGAGTTTTAGTTGTCTTTGCTGATGTCATTGGTTTTTCATTTTCCACGATTGTCTGCACCGGTGGAGATGCATCATTATTAATATCATCATCCTTTTTGGATTCTTCTTTACTATCTTTGCTTTCCGGCTCTCCAGCTGTTACCTCTGAATAAAAATATGGATATTTTTTTTAAATATTATTATATAACAATTAATTTCTATATGTGATTTTAGAACTTACTATTATACTTTGTCTTCATTTCCAGCATAGCACAACGTTCAATCTCTTCCATCATTTTATTACTTACGATATAATAGAACGGTTCCATGTTATGGTAGCGGCTTTCTAGCAAAAATTTCATTTTTGCTAAGACTCGCCACCAATTCAAAGGCCACTTATTGTCGATACCAAACTCCAAATCGTTCAAATATTTTAAAAATACATTCTTAAAGGAAATCCAAATTTCAATGATACGCTCTACGTTAAACAGAAAGAAAATTGAAATTGTATTTATGTATTTTAATTTAATAAATAAGAAAATTGTTTTTTTTTTTTTTTTTTTTCGTTCGAAAATAGGGGTGTTCTCGCTTTCCGTCGTGCTTTGGCCCATTTCTTATTCAAATGTGCGTGCAATAACGTCTAATGTTTTTCCGGAATTTGCAAGCGATATCTTCATTTTAGCGATCATTCACAGACATTGCACAAACAAACAGCGAGAAAGATAGATCAACGCTATACGAATTTTGTAAAGTCTCTTAAGCTTCCTTCGAGATACTGAATACGTTTCAATAAAATGAATGCACACCCCTATCGTTCAATGATGGATAGAGTAAGGATTACTTACCGACTTCGGGAAACCTTAATCGTATCGTACGCCATACGCAAAGTGATTCCATGTCGTTTTTATTATTTTTAGATTCTGTACTTATATATAATATTGGATAAGTGCCTATATATTCCATGACTTCCGGCAAGCGTGGTATAGACGACCATCCCATAGATACTATATAAATAATCGTAAAAATGCATGTAAAAAAAAATTGTACAAATGCATGTAAAAAAAAAAAAAAAAAAAAAATAGGCTATAAGTAAACTCACCAGCATGACTATCAAATTCCATAAAGAGTTCGTATGATTGCGTCCAAACTTTAATTTTCGTTTGAAATGGTTTCATTAACTCTTTCATCGGAGCAATTTTGGGAAATTGATTAAAATTCTCCACAAGAAAATTCCAACAAGCCCGACATATGTGAGCTATTAAGAAAGTATTACAAAGCGGACAGTGATTAATCTTAAGAGAATAGTGAGTAAAAGTTAAAACTAAAACCATAGACAAGAAATGCATTTTTTTTCTTTTTTCTTTTTTTTGCACTTTTATGAAAGAAAAAAATAATAAAAAATTTTTCTAATAATCTTTTGATGAAAACTGTTTAATAAAAAAGTGAACAAAAAACTTACCCGGCAGATTAAATTCTTTGGCTATATGTTCCCAATAACTATTAATAAGAGCTGGCTGATTGTGTTTTTTGTTATGCAATAATGGTACGGCCATAACTTCTCGAATAAAAAGAACCGTTTTCGGCATGGAAAGTGAATAACGTTCCGCCAAAGGTGGACCATGAACAACCAATTGATTGCCACTTTGCGAGGCAATTAATTCAATTAAAATCTCGTTAGGATTAAGTAGTGAGACAGCTCCTGTAATTTTCGGTAAGGGTGGTGTATTGGATACTAAATTAGAAGCCGTAGTAACCACGTTGGCAGCATTAGCTTTAGCGGCAGGAGAAACAGCTGGCGCTACAGTTGTTGGCGTAACAGGTAGTTGCTGTACGTTAGAAACATTGACGTTGCTAATTTTAGGAGATGCCGCTGATGTCGTCAAAGTTGGCGCACGTTTTCCAGCTGTAAAAAGCGGTTTTAGGTTTGCTATTGGAATGGCTGTCATCGCACTGGCTGATGGCAGACTTGAATTTGGAATGATGGCGATTTTGGGAGAAAGTATTGAAGTATTATTGTTGGCGGCCGAGTTACTTTGTACAGTAGATTTCGCAGTTGCCGTTACCGTAGTTGTTGTTGATACCGCTTTAAGTATCCTATGGTCCGATATGCTCAGAGGTATTTGTACGGGAGATAAATGAGTATTTTTTGTATTCGTTGTTGTGGGTAGTTGTTGCAGAACCATATTTGATGGATATGATGCAATAGCTTGATTATATGATGGTGGAGGTTGCATTGGTATTACATTGTTCGTATCATTTAAGAATTGCGCGAAACCAGGCTGCGCTAAACTAATGGCTGATGTTATCTTCGGCAACGGTGGCGGCTGCGTCGATACTATATGATTTGATATTTCTACCGCTGGAGAAGTAACTGTTATTCCATTATTAGTGAGAGTCATAGGTAGCGTATTGGTAGATTTCGGTGACACTGTAAGCGTTGATCCAATCTTTCGGTAGGGCTTAAATCGCCGCGTTTTTGCGTCCTCTATTACTAAGTGCGATTGAGAACGTTTGTATAGCTCTGTAATAATACCTTCAAAATACCATTTATCGGTCAGTTGATAACTTTGTTGACGCATTTTCATCAGTTCCAAGTAGAAGTGACGTAAAATTAACCATGTTATTTCGCACTGGCCTATAGTTGCAACTAAATGACCTTAAAAAAAAAAAAAGAAGAGAGGTCAGTGATATTTAAGCCATCTATTATCCCACTTACCGGACCCACCCCTCATTTTACCGATTTCTCCCCACAGCGAAAAGAAGTCTGCGGTCTTATTTGGATTATTAAGGAGACGTTCCGTTACCGCAATAACAGTAATTGTCCTTTTCATACGTGCTAATAAATTGTAAATATTTTTGAAATGTTCGATAGGCTCCTGCCAACCCTTCTTCAAATAGTGTGATTGTTTGTATACTGTATTAGGACTTAAAAGAGATGTTAACTATAAATGTATCTATAATATGGAAATTTAATCTTATTATCATACTTGGCTAATATATGGGGCTTTAAAAATGACAATAGCATTTGTAATTCCGAGGTTTCGGCCATTCCATTCGCTGTATCTATCCCAGAGGAGGCTTGACAAATTTCCCATTCATAACGTGTTTGTATGAAAATCCATAGTTTCATAAGCTTAGTAGCTAAAGCAAAAAAATAAAAAATAAAAAAAAAAAATTAGTCCTAAAATTGCAAATCCTTCAAAGCTTCAATCACCCTTATCTCCCATCTCAGAGGCTATAGCATTCCAAATGTAACCTTTGCGTTTATAATCCGCATAAAAAGGCGATAGATTATGATACAAATCCTGATAAGCCTTAACGTGTTCAATCAACTGTTTCATTTCCTTTGTTAATATGAATGTATTGCTCGTTATCGCACTGTTGGTCGTTGAACTGATAATTTTGCAGCTATCTTCGTCCTCATCGATAACAATCAATTCCACTGGTTGCTCAATTAAAATCAAGTCATCATCTTTGTTACAAGATTGATTAGCAATTACTTCATTTTCAGGTTCAGCAATATCAAATAACGGAGCGCAGCTTTTACTATAATGAAAATAAAAACTGTAGCGAAATGATTCCTTTAACAAATCATATATGCTCGTGTACCGTTCTTCTAAGAATCTCCATAAAAATAGCAATTCGTTTTCCAATTTCATAACTGGCCTTCTTTTGTTGCCCTTGGGACCACCCGAAAAAAATTGAAGCAAACGCCTCGCATGACGTTGATAAAGATAACGTAATTCAATCCACGTGGACTTACAAACATTCACTGAAGAGAATTTAAGTTATAATGGTTATATTATGAATTATGCATGAATTATGTATGACTATTACGGTCATGTTATGCCGGGTACGTCAATTTGATCTGTTTTGATTTTCGTTCTTCAAAAAAATGGTTATGAGGGAAATGATGGTAAATATGTTTTCTAGTTGACGACGTGCCGCCGATAAGTTTTTTCTCAAATTACCACAGTCGCAAAAATAAATATATATATAGGATGCTGAAATTTGGCACGAACAATCCTTGATTCATCAAGAAAACCAGATTAACGTACGCCTCCACAGTACATCGGAGATAGAGACAACCTTGAAAAAATACGACCAATATTTCCAAATTTTCGTCTTGTAACTTTCGATCTTATAAAGATATTTCTAAAAAGCTGTAATCCAGAGATCTTCGTTAGGATCGGCTTGACGTTCAGTACAGAAATGGTTGCGATCCGTTTAGTAACACGTCCGCAATAAACGATAAAATTTTAATTTATTTTCAGTATGTTTGGATAGAAAACGTGCTAATGCGTATTAAATTGAATTAGAAATAAATTGGAATTATAATTTTTAAGCTGATCGCACATATTTTCAAATTGAACTTGCCGATCGTTTTAATAAACGTTTGGGTGGCAATTTGTTAGGTATGCATTCATAGGCTCGAAATTCATAGGTAAAAATTTGAAAAAAAATTGTCATTGTTTTCGCGCGAAGTTGTTTCAATTTCTAATCTATTTTAGGCGCATATATAAACAGGTGAGAACCAGTTTTCAACCTTCGATTCTTAATCGATCAAGGAGTGTATTTCAGCATTATTACTTCATTTTTGCGACCGTGGCAATTTGACAAAAAAGTAGATTAAAATGATCCCTATCGGTAGGACAAGGTCGTAGCTCTAATGTTAAATCGTGTGTGAAGCTAAACTTACCCTCTAATTGCAATGATGCAGCGATTTTTTTCCATATTTTTTCCTTCCTTTCCAAATTTGAAAAATGTTTGTGCTTATTATCGTATAGTATACGATATTTTTTCACATAGAATATTAAACGTTTTTCCAGTTTTAAATCATCCGATGATTTTTTGAGCTTGTTATTGATACTTCTACTATCGCTACTCCCATTGTTATTGGTTAAGGTGCCACAGTTCATCTATGATAGAAAAAAGGACATAAGTGGTAATTAATAACCACATCAAGAAATAGTGTAAGTCATACCAACTAGATTCCTTAGTACTTTCACTTTATATCTTCTTAAGAGAAATACATTCTTGAAATATTCTTAAACATTTTAAAAACCAACAACAAGCAAGAGTGTAAAAAATTTACTCTCAAAATTCTCTCTTATTAGAATATAACATTATACGTTAACAGAAAACGAACTGTAAACATACATATTAATCTTCAAGAGAAAGAATTTGACGCAAACAAGAGTATGAGTATACTTAGCTAATCGATGTTTGATAAACTTTGAAAGTAATTTGCAATAAGTTGTCTAATGTACGCTTAAAAGAAGATTATTATTTTATATATAATAACATCGTTAGCCATGAATAATAAACATTTTTAATGATACTTCTAAAAAGCAATTTTGCACCTAAGATGAAGAGAGATTCATTAATAAGATATACATTAATACGCACGCCTTTCTGCAAAATATCTTCTCTGACTTGTGAGTAATACGTAATTACGTGAATCCCGTAGCAATATCTCTTTTAGATGAATTGAATTAGGTAAAAAGATTGGAAAGACACCAAATAGTAGATTTTCTATTTGGAAATTAATTTATTTTTATTGGTTTAATTATTTTAATGAATTTTCAAAATTTATATTTATAATTTCTTGTTTATTTAAACATAATTTCTTTATTGTCATATTGCTCCCATCGAGGGGGACAACAACCTCTGTTAGTTTCCTTACATTAGCATAACATTCATTTATTACGTTTTTGGATAGATTTTAAGTTAAATGTGTGTAGAAAATATGAAGAAAGAAATTGAAGAAAATTCAAAATGCCAAACTTTACCTCGAAAAGAGAATTTGCTAGGACGAGTGCACACGTAATTGTATTCTGAAATTTAGGGAAAATATTAGAGTCGAGAGATAAATATTGTGTTGAAGAATTATAAGTTATAAACATGTGTTATATTTGAAGGTTACATAAGAATTTGAGCGTACGGTACGGAGGCGAAAATTATCGCCTTAGATAATAAAATAGTGAATTTACAGCAAAGCTTTACGCAACACAATACAGCGGTTACCACCTTTTCGCCATCATTTGAACTCTGCCTCGAAAGGGCAATTCATCTTTTGAGGCCCGTCACGAACTACTTCTTGATATCGTCAGGTTAACAGATACACAGAGAACCCTTGAGTCGTCGAAGAAAACAGATAATTATAATAAGAATAAGAATCAACGTCTTGTGAATACAGCGGATGTAACCACACACACACCGGATAAGTGCTTTAATCTTTTCTAAAGGATATTTGCAATATTCGACTGAGAGTTGTTATGCGGCAAAAATTACTTAGATTCGTATCATACCATGCAAGCATTTCGAAATAGTAACTAAACTCTCAATAGCTTCGTAAGTTTTTTATACTTTCGATTTAGCTCTTCATTGAGCAACGTTTCCAATTGGATATCCGCATGTTACCGGCCTTCCATGCTAAAATCATTTCTAAACTTTTTGATTAGTACTCACGTACTTTTAATCGATGAAGCATAACTAACTACAGCAATCGATAGCTCTTAGCAGAATTTTTCTTCGTATTCAACAGGAAAAGAGACGCTTTTCAGAAATGCGCGCTGTTATCACACAAGTCGATGTGTTCAAAGCATTATTTATGTTTCGGCGATATCGTATATACAAATTCAATGACAGTTGATGCACAGGAATCAAAGAGTATTATTTTCCCGATTCTTTTCTTTCTTTTCTTGCATGTATATACATAATGAAGCTTTCCTTGTGTAACGCGTTGTGTGCTAAGCTGCTTATTAGTAGCTGGCATTTCTAAGCCAAGGGTTCGTTTATGGTTTATGGTTTTCGCTGTCGTACGAACGAAACACAAAAGCGGCGTAGGTTTCTCATTCGTCGCATTTACAACGGAATGTTTGTGATATTGTCGATGTATGTATAACAAATTGACACAAAAAAGAGAGGAAAGAGTAAAATAAATAAACCAACCAAACATAAAATTTGAAAAAGAAAAAATCGAAATCGATGAAACAAGAATTCTTTTTTTCTTAATAGCTAACTGGATATTTGTAATTCCCATATTAAATCTTCCCGCCTATACACTATCCATATAGGCCACGTTTCAGAATACTTTCCAGAATACATACTGCACGTCATGTCATTCCCAAAAGTTGTTGACTTAATTCCATAATCATTTAGTCCTTTTCATATGTTATAGCACAAACAAATAAAAGCACCCAAAATAATTATTTGATTTTATTATTTTTGCCAACACTTTGGAATTTCTACGAGTAAGTAATCTTCCTATATCCATTAATTTTATCAAATGCTGAATAGCTATTTTGGTTTCCAACTAAAATAGGGTATTTTCGTGTCGATATCGAGCAAACACTCATACAGACCCTATCGAGTATTGAGAACCACTTAGGGGATATTTCCTGTACTTCGTCAAGAAGAGAGGGAGAGTTGTTTGTGAACATTCGACTTGAAAATGAAAACATCAGGGACGGTGAGAAAACCCACTTCCGTAGGTTGTTCAATACGGTTAAAAAGCGACGAGCTACTGTGGTACATGGTATGGTACCCAGATAACTCCAGGACAAATGAGAAAGCCGTGTAGCCTTGTTAAAGGTGGACATATATCTTTTATGTCTGTAGAACACTTGCCCTGGATATGTCTGTACATAAGATCAACACAGTCCACATTACGACGATACTCAAAGAAATCGCGACTTTTTGATACACTTTCGTCACCCATGAGCATCTGAGCCTTTCGCTGTGTGCGGTTGTGATGCTCCAAGCAATGTTTGGATGCCCCCAACCACACATACGAGTTATACTCTATTTTTGCCCGGATATAGATAGTGTAAATGGTACCGATATCGGCTGCAATGAACTGTTTTGTGCTTCGCTTTAAAAAACCACACTTTGAACACTTGTTCTTTGCAACGAATATCGTTTTGTATTCTCATGCCCACAACATCGATGGTTGCCGATTCTTCTACATTGACACAATCAAAAAAGAGAAGTTGTTCATCACTTTTCCTGTGCATTAGAAGGCAGCTTTCAGTTCTTGCGATGTTAAAGCTTGCTATATCAACTTGACCCCATTCAGATATTTTTATGAGATCCTGATGCAGCGTTTATTGTTTATCTCATTGCTGCATGATTTCTGACTAAAGAAAAATGAGTGACACAAGATTCTGTCGTCTGCGAAGGAGTAGATAGGGGTTTCTTTTACGCACAAGAGGTCGTTAAGGAATAAAAGAAAGAGAGGAGGAAAGAAAGAACAACGAAAAATTTAGCAAACTTTTCAAAGATTTTATTACTTTTCAGTTATTCTCGTTATAAGAAACTACAATCTATTAACTTTTTCGCCATATAAGCTTCTTTTTCCTTAAAGGCCCCATATATGGTGGGATTCCTAACATAGATCTGCCTCGTCCAAATTCGATAAAAATTATTTTCACATCAAATTATTATTACAAACCATTTTTCACTATGAAATATTGGAAGTTAAACGGTCTTACTATATAAAGATTCAATTTTCGTAGAAACGGTTATATGGCAAGTGGTTCAAAGAACTTTTGGATGTAGCCCATTCAAACCACTTTCTACAGCGTATATAATTGCGCCAAATTTCCGACCAAATTTCATTAAAAAATCTCGAAAATTACGGCTTTTTCTTGAACGTAGACACGCAGACGGACAGACAGGTCCACAGCGGTATAATAAAAGGTGAGTCTATCTAAAGTCCATCTGATCGTTGCATACATCCGCACAAATTTAATATACATATGCGCTGAAAACGATGAGGAAGGTAACGTGTTAATATTACATTGATCAATCCGCCTGAGTGGCCGAAGACGGGGAATTTCGACTAGCGACTCAATGGTCGTGGGTTCGAATCTCAAGTGCGGTAGAGTTTTTAATAAACGCCAATAGCCTTAGATGCTAGTGCTTTAAGACTTTAGTCTTAGAATTTATTTCTGTAGCGAAATTAATAATAATAATAATAATAACAATACATTGATCAATTGTGGCTTCAGTATGTCCGTGTGCGCGATTCCATCTGTATTCCAGAACAGGAAAGCCTTATTCTTTTTGACATAATTTTCGTACACTCGAGTTGCATTGAGCACTAGTCAAGACACACCGCCATTCGCAACCTGACTTTCGCCGCCGCAGTGGTTCACTATTAGCACAAGTCCCATCGCCAGTTAGTAGGCTGTCTATTGAATCATCTCCAGTGTCGTAAGTTATCACCTGTTTTAACGCACAACCCAATGTTAACACCATTTTCTTTCGGAATTGACTCTTTTCGAACAAGCTTTATACAGCATTCCTAGCAAAGGTCTACCAAGTTTGTACGGATGTGTGCGAAACCTAGAAGGACTTGAGAAATCTATTTTCTATTTTTGTGTGATTCAATTCCCAATAAAGTGTTCTTACGAGAAGTAAGCCGTTATATGATATTCGATAAAATTTATCATATTTTATAACAAAAACAAGTATAAATAAAATGTATTGAGCCAAAACATTAACTTTGCTAAATTTAGACCAAATTGGTTCACCCTTTGGGCACTCTGCTATATAAAGATTGTCATGAAGAGGAAGACTATACATTGCCGTATTATTTCAAATATTTTGTGATGATGGCAGGCGCGGGATGATATTAAGCGAAGTGGTATTCTAAAGTCGGCATTTCTTGAATGCAACGTTTTAACATGTTTCAGATAGGATTTTACTGCCATTAATCATTCTTATAAGTCCCGATATGTTGAATTTCTTATTACTGTTCGTTATTAAAATATGCGTTTATCTCGCTACCTCTGTTTCTCAACGGATTCTGGTCTATTTACTGCTAATTTTAGATTAACGACGCCGTCTTCTTCTTTCGTTTGTATTGTATATCTCACGGATCGCCAAATCCCTTTCATATCTAGCGCTTATACTCTCTCTTTCTGTATTGATTGTATAAAACGTTTTTTATTACAATCATGTTTATTTCTTTCTATTTAACAGCTTTTCGTGCATACATGCTCAGGAATTCCTATGCATAGAGCTATATTCGTTTCTTTCTGCGTTAATATTTAGCTCGCATTTTTCTGAGTAACATAATCATTAACTAATAATCTATTTCTTAATTATGTAATAGAAATCAACACATTCATCTGCACACAACTAATGTTAAAAATATTGAAAACGAAGCATATGTACAAAGTATGTGTCAGCCTTACTCTTCTTCACACTATCCTAACTAACCTGCGAAAATGTCTCATATTAAATTCTCTTAGCTTTATGCTCACAATGCTTATAGCAAAGAGTATCGCAATCTTCTTAGAAAACAAACTATTTCTCACTTTATATTCATTTATTCAATGACTTATTTATGCAAACCAAGCATAAAAGGATTATGGATAAAGTGTCTGTACTGAAAATAAACAAAACATTTTCGCCTATACTTCCAGAGCATATAAATAAAAAATTTCATGAAATGTGCTATCTGCGTATATGTACAGCTGGTTTTTGATATGTATAAAAAATTATTGAGATGATTACCATCTGGGTCGTACTGTAAAGTTAACAGTGAACAAAATCGTTCACATAAAATAAAAATGATTCAAACCGCAAGCAGATAGACTAAAGAAAAAAAAGAACAGAAAAACTCTCATTTTATTGCAGTGTTGCCATCTCTTATAATAAATAAAAACGGCATCTTCCTTACTCACAGTTGTTATCATACTTGTATAGAAAAGCACACATGAGTGACTTCAAAAATTGCTGCTTTTAATATATTTAAAACAAACTAAGAAATTCTTTTTTTGAACTTGTTTTATGCTTAGTAACATAATAGCAAAAAGCAAACTTAGTCTCTTGAGTCCTTCATCGTCTCTCTTGTTGTATTGCCCTATTCTGTTCCATGAATTATGAGTGTAAAGTTATTTTGATCTGATAACTATGCTAGGATTGATATATATGTATATATATTAGATTACCTGTAGTGTAAATTAAAACCGTAAGTTTTCTCAACATCAACATGTTAACTATCGCATATCTCAATCAAGTTGTTGGTTTTGCGAGAGTAATCTTACCAATGCAACCAAAGATTAATTGTTTGCATATCAGTCCACGAATATTTCCATATTGTGGACTCTGTGGTCTTCGCACTAATCTTAAAATGAAGGTTCAATTTGTTATATAGATGCATAGATTAAAAACAAAGAAATTTAAACATTACTCCTATCTATTTACGTGTTTATGGCAATACTGTTCGTGTAGTAACATAAGAGAGTGCTGTAGTTATGAAATCTTTAAAATGCGCATGCTTTAGAAAAAAAGTGAGAAAGAGAATTACATATCTTACAACAATACTAGCAAGTATGTGATCAACTATGTGCATACTATTCAACGATATGAACGGAAATTGTAACAAAGAATATTACAAGTCTCTGTGATGGCATGCATGGGAAGACAAACAATATTCGAGAATAATTAGGGTTGGTTTAACGTGTATATATGTAAGTTGCTAGAGTGCCAAAATACCTATATTCGTTTCATTCATTTTTAATTAACATTATCTTTATTATAAGATCCTTTGTGTTTAATACTGCTTAACATACAGTGAAAAACAAAGTCTACGTACACGTAAGAATTGTTTAATACTATGAAAAAGGCGGGCTAAAACACAAAATCGTTTAGGCCAATAGTTCAGGGGGCAAACCGCTGTGACGATCTAAAAACAAAGAGGTTCTTTGACAATGCTTTTAGGATAGAAGGAAATAAAAGTGCAATTTTTGACCAAAAGGAGGGCACTCCTTCGATCAATAAAAAATATTTAAATTGACTTATCGCAAAAATCCTAGTTCATATGTTGCGAAATCATAGAGAAAATGATCATAAAAAATATAATTCTGCAACCAAACCAATAACAAGCTCTTAGTTAGGCTACCTTGATGAAGGTTTTACTAATATCTTTTTTTTTGAAAATGCTTCTAAATGGCAAGAGAGGCAAGAGTAATCAAAGGCTGATGCTTCCCAGATGGAATTGTAATGACACAAGCATATTGGTCGCAGCGCTTAGCGTATTTTAAAATCTATTAAGCGAAAAAAAATTGATTTCTTGAAGAATTTACAGCGGTTTGCGCCCTTAAGCAACCAAATGCAATATTTATTTTTGAAAAAAATTTTGATTCAGAAACCAAATCACTCGATTTTAAGCAAAAACATAAAAAACTTGTGGGACAAATGCATACATGCACCAAATTATTTTTGGAAAGCCTGCTAATTCTCAAAAAAATAAAAAAAGTTCATTGTCTTGAACATTATTTATTTCCATTTCTAATGATGAATAGAAATCCAAGCTGCGCCTGTTAATGTCAAGCAGCTTTTAGAAATTCACGCATTTCTCTTTTTCAAGCATCCTTTATTTTGCTGGGTGTTATTAAATTTGAAACATTTTTTTCTGCTACATTTGACTTTCCTACTTGTATCCGTCACGTGGATATTTTGTATTGTTATAGATCGTCCAATATTTTCCTTTAATTGTTGCTCCATAATTTCATTCCATTCCCATAATTTCAATACGGACCTTAAAGAAAATCTTTATTCCCCATCTGAAGCAACTGTCGGATACTTTATTAATTGAAGGAGTCCTAGCAAACGCTTACTTACGTGGACTATGGTAACTTCAAATATCTAGGTATCAATGATAAACAGTTTTAGAGAATTTGAACATTGATATATGCTATTGCTTTGCGGGCATGGTGGGTGTGATTCGGACGTCTCAAGTCTTTCTCAACATCTACCTTATTATTTACAACTGACTAGAAAGGCCTAATTACCGCACGAGTTCTATATTTGGCTTGATAACAGTTCAAGATATGTCTTTTTTCGTAAGCTATCGATCGAAAACGGTTTTATTGAAAATCCTATGAGCGCTATCACAGCCTGAGTATACACATAAGTCTTGCTTTTTAATTTTCTTTTTCTCTCTATTGACAAAGAAGAGAAAGGAAAAAAAGCAATTAGATGCACGCTGTCTCTTTCACTTTATCATTTTTTCTCAAAAGAATCAAATATACTCATTTTCTCTCATCCCTTATTGTATGTGGCTTTACTCTCGTTTTTTGTTGATTACGTTTTAAGTCTCATATTCGTTGTAAGATAAGTGATGCTTACCGTCAAAAATTTTCAATAAAATTAATTTACTTAAATGTGCTTGACTTACCTTTAGAGTTCTCTTTTTATTATAAAGCGGTTCACTTAATTTAACTATATTTTCACTTCTTAAAAATTTTGTCGATGTTCATCCACTGAAAAATGATTTAGTAACATTCAGACATTCACAAGAACACTAGACACGACACCGCACAACACGCTACTAAAATATTGCAATCAAAAGAGAATAAGTTGTGACGCCAATGTTAACTGTTAACAGAAAACTAAAAAATCGTACCATACAGAAATTCTCTGTGTAGCTTAAAGAGTATTTAGTTGCTTTATGATTTACGCACACAAAATAGACAAATTTTTAACCAAGGCATTGCTCACTTTACAGACATTAAAGTTAGTACTCAAAGTTCTCTTTAAAATGGAAAATATTTATCATTAATTAATGTTGTATGCGGTGATTTTTTTTAGGTAACAAAGAAGTATTTAAGCAAATTGTAATTTAACATCGTGAGAGGCTGGCTTTCACATTTTTAACAATATCTTTTGAGGGCCCGACGGCTCTAAAAGCGAGAAAGAGGGGAAAAGACTGAGTAAGTTCTATCCTTCGATCATATAAACCTAGCATAAAAAACGAAACTTTAGAAAGAAGAATGTTGTAAAGAATATTGCATCTTTAAAAAAGAAAACAAATTTATTGGTTTCAGTCATGCAATTAATTCATATGTACATTTATCTCTTTCATTCATACGATGGCATTTAGAGCTCAATAACACAATCTCTGTTATTACGTCTAATGCATACACATAATAATATCTCACTTTATTAAAAGAGAAAAAATTACAGCATTGTGCCATATAAAAAGGAAATAACTAATAATATATACGGAATATTATGTAGAAAGAGACGGAATAATACACATTAGTAAAGCAGCGAATGACAAAACAAAACCGAAGAAAACAAAAAAGAAAATAAAAATGTAAATACACTACATCGTTGCCAGATGATCCACAGTGCTTGTGTATAAATAATTACCATATTCAAAACAAGAAGAAGAAGAAAAAGAAGAAAACAACGTGTGCAAGCAATTCACGCGTTTGAGGCTACACAATGAGTCATGAGAAATCATATGTATGTATATGTGCGTACAAACAAATATAACAACACCAAGAAGAAGAGTAAAGACGATTTTTTTAAATTCAAAAAAGTTATTTATCTGATTTATGTTTATTTTGTACTAATTGAATGCCGTTTATATATATATTCGTTATTACTATTTTTTATATATATTTCTTTTAATTTTCATTTATTTATGTTTATTTATATGATTTTTTTTATTATCATTTTCACGTAAATTGGAAAACAAGCAAGAAGGCAACTTATTTTCAATTTGAATTATATTTTTCAGATCAAAACCTTTAAGCAATTCTTTTGCTTTGTTTAACAAGTCAATGAAATCCGCCTCTGTGCCACTTCTTTATACTCATTTTTCTCAATTCTTTATTTCATTAATCATTAAATTTTTTTTTTTTTTTATCATTGTAGTTGTTTACATTTGCGTCGATTTCCTTACTTTTTCTTATCAAAAAATATGGCAACGTAACTTCTCATTGTGCTTACTATTGAGGCTTTAATTACCCTTAATTACGCTTCACTGTATACAAAATTTTTAAAATTTGAACATTTTTATATAAAAATCGAAAAGTGAGCAAAGGGAGCAACGTAACCATATCAATAGTTTTTTTTTTTATGAATTTACAATTACTTTAGTTTAGCGTTACAACTGTATCATTCGATCATTGAAAAAAACCCATAGTTCGAAAACATCCTTTGCAGTAGTTTTCTAAAACTTCGTTATATGCTTATTCGCGATTACCATAATTCTTAATCTGGCGAAAAACTTTTATCATAAATAAGTTTTCTTTTTGAAGTTTGAAGTGAATATCTTAGCGACTTCAACATCTTTATTGGTTGGTCCGCTGCTTTCATGACAATTATTATTTGTATCAATAAGTTCTGCGCATTGAAGTTGTTTGTTTTATAAAATGTACCTGACGCGTTCATTTCTTCCCAAGTAGATTACAAATTAGCGTTCATACGGTATCAGTTTCGATTGGCTAAAACTTATTTTTCGGTGTATATCGAATTGTAAAGAGGTGGATACCATTTGCACCACTACATGTTATTCTGTTTTAAACTGGAAAGAAATGCAGCTAAAGCTGCATCAAATAACTAAGTTGCTTTGGGGCCAAAATGTAGTAAACTATGAAAAAGTTGGAAACTGGCTTGCGAGATTTCAGGCAAAAAATTTTACTTTTGAAGATGATAAGCGCAGACCAATAAGCGATCTTCAACTTGGCCTGGGACTTTCCTCTATTGCGGATTATTCTCTAGACCTGCCTCCTTCTAATCACCGCTGATACAGATCGACATAGTCCTACATAGCAGATTAGCACCTCACAAAAGTTGAAGATGTGCGTAAATTAGTCCATGACTATTTTGCCTAAAAGCCACGAAGTCTGTATCACGATGATAACTGCAGACTACGCGATAAGAGGGAAAAGACCGGAGGTAGTGATTGCGAATATTTCGATTATTTGGCTTTCTAGCAATCGTAGCTAAATATGAATTTTATCAAAAAAATATCTGGAAGTGATTCAAAAGGTTTAAGAAGGCCTTCTTAGTTCAATTTGCAGATAATCAATTAAGAAACTGCTTTTTGTATTCCCATAAGGTGATCTAAAAAAGTTTCGCCGGCTTGGCTAATTGTGGGCTGAACAAGCAGGCACAGTCTACTTTGTAATTCGTTGTTAGACTCCAAGATTGTAAGTCAAAAGTGAATTTTAAATTCCTACTAGACGAATTAATACTTTATGAGGGTTCCGGTATTTATTTGCGCATGTAAGAAGCGAAAACATAAACTAACACTTCACGCTTATAGGATATACTCAACAGAATTTATTTGGTGTTAGTTGATTATATAGTTCTTTTATTGCTGTAATTGTGTCAATTCAACATTATTCCTGCCTTCGCTCAGCCTCTCAAAGGAGTTGCCACAAACCCGAGTAGATAAGGGTCAGTGCTAGCGCTCTGTGCGATAGACCATATTTTGCCGCAACCACAGTGAGCGTTCAACCGATCAAAGCGTAACACTCACTGACCGGGCACACACCAATTAACCTGCGGCCACCTCCTATCTCTTTTCCACTATTTCCTGACCATCATCATGTATCGAAGATATCCCTCGAGTGGTTGGTTACAATAAAAAAAAAGAAAGAAGTAAAAAGGATGTACTAATTTCCTTAAAAGCATATCACTCTAAGCTTGAAGAGATTTCTCAAGCCAATTCATTTTCAATATCTCTGCCTAAGTAGTTAGCTACCTTGGAAATACATTAATAGTTCTTTTCAGTATAGAGCTCATGAAAGCAAAAATAATAGTAATGCAAAAGGACTTGTCCACAAAGCTTAACTCAGGCTACAGATACAGCGCAAACGAAGTTTCATCGTGTAAAACCCCCGCAATAAACTGATGTGTTATATATTGCCGGTAAAATTGAGTGAATATTAGTCGAGAGCGGTGAAAATGTTGTCACAAAATTATATTAAAATGATGTGGTTATTTGCATACACATAGATACTATAATTACGACAGTGCGATAACAATTGTGTTAACAAAGTTTTTTTTATTAATATCAAATAGTCCTTGTTTGTGAAATTTTTATTGAACATTTCAACCTAAAATAAGTAAAAAAAAGTATTCACAAAGTGTAATCAAAAAACGATTAATTCAGAGTTGTGGGTTAAAGTTGAACTATGAATGTGTGTGGGACGGAAAACTCTATGATAGCAACAATTCAGTCATTGACTAAAGCAACACTGGCAACAAATGGTAATGGCACCAATGTTTGAAGAGCACCAAGAAACTTTAGAGATGAAAGTTAGTATCTTTCAAGGTAGCGTGCAAGAAGTAACCATTATTAAGGAGGACGTGTTACACATGCTTTTCACTATGAAGAAGTAAAGCCTCAGCAAGTTCTTACTACATAATTTATACATAGAACAAAACACGCCGAATGGAACACTCAGGAAATTGCATGGAATCAGTCAACTCAAATGTTACAAGTGCAATAAAATTATTCTCTTTACTCGATAGTATCGATCAAGTCGTAAAACTTTATATCTGATATCATTTATTCAAAAAAATCAATGTAATAGTGATTCATTTCGAATCAATCGTTTAAGAAGGCGAAAAGACACGACCAGGATACCAATAAGTTAACAAGCTGTGCCTAAAACCATTAAGAACAATATGTGTTCGTTGCTACGGACGTTATAAACGAGACTGTACGAAGCACACTACTAATCTGAGCGCAGCTAAAAATTGCCCTTCTCAAAAAAAAGGTAAATAGACAATGTAACTCAAGAAAAGCAGAAGGACGGAATCATTGATTTCTTCAATAGTCAGTAGTGTTCACCCGTTGTTCTTTTGCAAAAAAATTGTGGATATACAAAATTTTAAGCAGACCGTAGAAAATGAAACGGGATTGCCAGAAAGGGAGCCGATCCCATATGGAGGAGTGATCGAACTTCGAATGCTCTCGAAGATTGAGTTCATCAGAGCAGTAGAACTTAGACTTAAGAAGGACAACAATGGCAAGTAGAAATAATAAAGGTGCACAAGGAAAAAACCGCTTTTTCAACTGGCTGCGACTTATGCCAATTTACTGCTGGGCAAGTGGTAAACCAGGTCAAATAACATGTGCAAATTACGTAATTTAATAATCTTACGCTTGTATTACAATGGACCTAAACCAAGATTTACCTTAATAGTCGAAAAATTAGTCTTGTTATTGGCAAGAAGCCCGTATAAAAACAATTAAAACAATGAATGAACTTCTGTTTCCATCTTCCGTCCACGGATGCACGTGCGGTCGGAGTAGCCAGAACGGAAAGTGATAGGCAATCACAGTAAGTCGTTATTTATTCCTGAGAAGTGGCATAGCAGAAATTATCAGTAATCGTAGTCTTAATTGAACATTTTCACCAATATGTAAATAATTCTACTGTGGCAGGATTAGTGCAACTCAAAGAACCGAAATGATACCTAACCAGAAGGATTTAAAAGTCGCATGCACTGTCTACACAGCCATACAGCTCCCAATGTAAATGCTGCTCAAGAAAGGAAAATAGGCATAATTTCATTATTTACTGATTTGTCATAAGCTTTTGCATGCGTAGTTGGAACATAAGGCTGAGCGCTATAATGACCATACTTTGAAAAGAAAGAAATATTGGTCTG